CCAGAAATTAGTGAATATTCACTTATTCATTTCACACAGGCCTCGAAGCAATAAATCAGGCACAATGGCTACAGTGCAACTTCTTACCTAAAATGGACAAACTGAATAGAACAAAAAATATTTAACTTGCCTATAAATAAATGCAGCTTTTGAATCTTTATTAGTCTCTATTGGAAATACACAATGAATATCCAGCCAAAAGGAATGATGTAAAATCACAGGTGCTGAGATAGAGAGTGTCCCCATAATTTACTCAATTGCCTAATCACCATATTTTTATCACATACAAACCCAAATATCACCTGCAAAAAAAAGGATTATCCAGAATTTATTTTAAATATTCTATAGCTCCTTCTGGTCCATTTTATCAGAGCTTCATATGATGCTCCAGGAAAAGTAAAAATTTCTAACACTGAACACTGCAAAGCATTACTGACTGCTTGGGAAGTTTACAGACTGTAAACATTAAAATGTAGGTCCTACAAAAACAGGTCAGATGACCACCCATTAATAATGATATAGGTATGACTGGACAGGGCTTTGGGGTAATGAGGTAGGACTGGATGGCTTCTGGGTTTTACAGAAGCACAGAAAACAAGACAGACATTTAAGTGCATCCATTTTAAGTCAGATATATAATACTTTGCAACAACTGTTTGGCCGAACAAAGAGAAATCTTTTTACAAAGATTTGAGCAGATAATCCTGAAAAAAGTGGTATTCTTCAAAAAAATGTGAAGAAACAACTGTTGACATGGTCTCAAGCATAAAACCATCACTAATGGAGAGCTACTTAATACAGTGACCATAACACAATAAAATTAACATGCAAAAGGGGAAAGAACGAACTAGAATAAAAAGGTGTAATACAGAAATCAACAAGAAATGTATATTGGGAAAAAGAACATCAGAAGAGAACTTTAAAGATAATATGCTTGTACCTCACACAGAACTATTCAATGATCCCACGGGAGATTTATCACATTTTATCACTTTTAACAGAATAACTGGTATGCCCAGAGAAATACCAGGCAGCAAAATAAGTTTTGTGGGTTTTTTTTGTTTCTCCCCCTGTCACTGGGCACTACTGAGAAGAGTTTGGCTTCCTCTCACCCGTTCCTTTCCAACAGGTATCTACAGACATGGCCAAGATCTTCCTGAGTCTCCACACCTAATCTCTTCTGAACTAACACAGCTTTGCCACATTTTTAGTGAAAACATTCCAACCTGACCTTCACTTTCCAATTGTGTCCCAGTAGTAACTCCTACTGATCCTACTATTTGTGTGAGTTATCAAAGCCTCCAGCTGTTCAACAGTGGGAAATATCTACAGTGTTGTTTCAGTACTGTACAATTCTATTCCAATCCACCTTCTTCAAAGCAATATTAAGTCATCAAATCTGAACAAAACCTCTGAAACTGTAACCAGGGACAACATATTGGTATCTCCAGTATATTACACATGGGACCCTTCTCTGATATTATGTTTCCCTTCAAGCACTCCACCATTTAGAAAGAAGCATGCAGCACAGTTTCTAGCTGTATGTTTGCTTTTGCTCAAATATAAATTGATGAAATGGACCATTTAGGAATTTATAACCAAAACCATCAAACTTGGCAGTAAAGGATATTTTCTGAGCAAGAGTACTAAGCAGAAAAATCAACTTTATTTCTTTTTTCACCCCATTTTAATTATCTTTTTAATCTTCCAGCTAATGGAAGCCTACCCTAAATGCTATTCTTTTGTGTTTCCTTTCAGTTGTACTGCAGTGCTCATCTTGACTAATAGGTGTCTGCAAATCAACCAGGCTGTCTGCCTCTCCCAGTATTTACTGACCAGAAGGTATAGCCCAAAAGCTAATGAGCTGCTAAACATTGCTGCCACTGAAGAGAGATGTATTGTGAATTTGCGATTTTGCAAAACACCATGCACATAACTGATGATTCCTGTCAGTAGCTGTAGTGTGAGACCACGATTGACTCCCAGATAACAATTAAAATGGAATACATTAAGTAACTCGTTATGGGAAGGAGAAGCATAAAGCTTGTCACTGACTGTGGCTTCATTTCTCTGATGCAGACACCTCATGAAAGCCTTAATGACTTGTCAGGTATCATAGATCACGAGTCCATGTATAAAACTTATTTGGAATAGTCTATAGCTTTGTTCTACTGCAGGCAAATCACAAATTTTATTTATTTTGACCTCTTTCGTGCCCAGACAGAATAATGGCTAAATGATTCAGAAGAGAAGTATTACCATACAGTCATTTCACTCACATAAAATTAAATCTATGATTTACAAAAGAACTTCTTATTTCTGAAGAGCCTGAATTCCACATTGGACTTTACTGTCATGTGCCTTAGTTCCCATTTTACTGCAGAAGAGAAAAAGGGAGCTCAGAACAGGATTCACAGCAAAACGTTTTGATAATTGCACTCCTGGCCTCTGGACATAAATTCTGAGTATAACTTCCTTTAAACATTGATGTCCTTTCATGAATCCAGACTACCCATTCACTAAAACTTTCATGGCACGGGAATGTTGCTGAAACTAGTAAATGGTGCACAGGGAGCACATGAAATTTCATCCTTTTAGAGACTTAGGCACTTATCACTGAATTCATAAACTATAACCCTCTGGATTAGGTGCAAAAGATTCACCACTTACAAGAAAAAGGGAGCTTTCCAAACACAGCAATATTCAAAAGTGTACTTTCTGTACATTGAGTAACTCAGTGCTCAAAATCCTCACCATACATTGTCCCATCCTCAGGGACCATCTCCTTACTCATCTAGACTGGTACAAAATAGGGTCAATGATGTTTATTTTGTTTATTCATTTAAAAATAAACAAATAATAACGATTAAAAGAAAATCAGTTCACGCATGACCAACTCAAAATAAATTTCACCTTCACTTTGCTCCCTTTTCAGTGAGCCTGCCCAAAATGTCAGACTGCAGATTTCAATATGTTCTTCCAATTATAACTTTCTGTGCCACTTGAATTCTGAGGTGCAGTGAATTTTATGCAATGACAATGAAGCTACCGTGGCCCAAAGCTCAGGCTTCTAATGAAGGCTGCCAGTTTAAATGAAAAATGAAAACGAGACACCAACAAAACCAGACACATTTCAAATAAGAGGGAAAAAAAATTAAGCAATATGTCAAGCCAACTTCCGAAATTTTCTATTTCTAATGTATTTTAACTCCTCACACTACAGCTGATAGATCTGGAGGCCTTAAAATTGTATATATTTTTTATTATTTTTACTAGTTTGCTGTGCTTCATTAGATAAATTTCAAGCTTGACTTTCTGCAAGTAACAAAGCATAAAAGACTAAATCATGAACCACTGCTTTCATTATACTCTCCCTTTTAAGGCCAAAACCCAGCTTTTAAGCAGCACTGAACATCATATAAGTGCATTGGCTCATGAAATATTGCACATTAAAATCAATCAGAGTTTATCCTGGGAGCCTAGGCAGAAAAAAACATGTTTCTCATGTAACTTTTAGAAATGAAAAAGGAGAATTTTCATCATTGTAGCTGATTATCACTGTATGAGTGAAAAACATGGACAGAACAGTACAGACATTTTTCTTCTTAGGAAATACCTGCTAAATGTGGATCTGTGAGCAGTAATCAGACAGGGGAAAAAAAAAAAAGGCATTCTCCAAGGACACCTACAATTAACTAGCTGGAACCAATTAAAGTCAAGTGAAATCCACTAAAACAGGAGATCCTCAAAGTTCTGCTCATGCCTCCCTGCGTGGCCACGTGCTGCCTAAACATGCACATGCAACAAAACTAATGTTTCAAACAACTAGCAATCGCAAAAATAATACTATAAAACAATTCTAAATAATACTCTATGCTGGAACTTTAATTTGAGCATGTCTGAAACACAAAAATCTCTTTGGTGACATGAATTAAAAAGCCCCTACAAAAATCTGTACTACTTCTTATTTAATCAAATAATATTTTTCATATATATATATATTCTTTTCATTCCAGGCTGATTCATACTAAAGATACACATAAACAAAAATAAAAATCTGTCTTGGATAATATCTTTTTTAAAAGGTTAATTTGAAAGATCAGAAATCCATACCTGAACTCAAAAACAGTGTTGACATTTTCTAACTTAACTTGTTCAGGAGAAAACTATCTACAGTGGTTTTTGTTTTCTTTCACAATGAAGGTTAGTTTCAACAGTTCTTTTATTTAATGTTTCTTCTACCTTTAGTTTAAAAGAAAATAAAAAAGCTTACCAAATGACAATTAACCAGGCAAAATGCTGGCAAATTTTGATGACTTTCTGCAGCAATTTCATTTTATCTCCTCTATTACAGACTATCTAGGTAATCATTTCATTCCAGGAAAGTCATCAAAACACCTTTTTCAACTCTTTTGCAAGGTACTACATTTGACTGCTAGTGAATACTTACAAAGTTGAGGCCACTTTCTTGCATAATACGAAAGTTTCTAGTTCTAAAGGTAATTCACTGGAATTTCTAAAAAATTTCTGTGTTTATCTGCCTAACCTTCATAGAAAACTCAAGCCTTGACAAGCACTCTGCTTGGACTCCCTAGGTTACACTGCAAAAAGCCCATGTTCCTCTTCTGGACAGAACCCTTCTACTGTCTAGGTAGACCTAGGGTGGTTTTTTCCCCTCCAAGTTTATTACGTTAATTTTTATTAATAAGCAAAAAAAATTAAAAATTAAAAAAAAAATCAAGAATAAACATGGTTTCTAAAAGAACAAGCACCACTACTAGTGGTTCATTCAGATTAAGACATGAAATTCCTTGTTATACCCAGCTAAAAACAAGATGTCTGAACATTGGCCTCCCTCAGGCTTTCCAGTCCCTCTCACATCACCCTGTCTCAGCCTTTACAAAGATGTTCCTCTTTCCCCTCCTTCCACCAGGACTGGCAGTAGCTGATCTCACAGACATGGCTTTAAAGACCACTTCTGGGATGACAATTCGTCCCCACTCCCAACCCATCCATGTTGTGTCCCATAACACTGCTGTCCCCTTGCTGTAGCTCAGCGTTCCCAGGGCTCATCTGGGGCTCAAAGCACAACATCAGGTGTGATGGAATAATCTAACTGCTGATTAATTTTATCAATTAGCTGAACACAGCCACATGGGTGAATTTGGCTCCCACTTGCCAGAGCCCAGAAGCAGAGGCTGAGTCCCTCAGAAGTGGAGTGCCTTTCATGGAGTGCCAGCACCTGGTTACCCCACAACCCAGACAATCACTAAATATTTTAAGAGAAAAAAAAACAACTGTGAGTAATCAGTATTTGTTCTCTACAGAAATAAGAAAAAAGGCATCATACTCAAGCTGGGAACCAAATTAGTGTGTTCAGAAAGGAGAAGTTACACATACCTGAATATTAAGCAATCTGGCTGGAAGTAAATGCAAGTCAACTTACAAAACAATTTTATTTCTCTACTATATGACCTTTCAGATTCTCCTGAATTAAATGAAAGCAGGTTCATTCTCAAGCACTCCTTCAGTGTGAAACTTCATCAGACATTTAAAACAAAAAACCTATATAAATTATAAACTCTTAAGATTTTTACTTACTATCTCTTGATATATATCACCACAGCAATGCATGTAAAAATCCAATAAGACAAGCTGCATGCAACTATATGACTAGAAAATTTTAGAAATTTTAAATCACCAAGCTTATGCCCAGGCAGTCTGATACCTCCCCCTTTGGACAGCACACAGGAATAGATAAAAGGGTTAATACATACTTGGTATTGTTCTAACAAGCAAGATATCAGCTGGTAGGTGAGACCATACAGAAAAGCACCACTGAAGCCCAAGGAAAATACCAGCTGTCTCTGCTCAGAAAAGACAGATTACCACCTGTCCCCGTTATCTTCCACACACAATACAAGGCACGTTGGTCATTTTAACAGGGATAACTGTACCCATATGCTGTTTAGTTTTGAACTGCACTCTGCCTACTTGTAAATATTAGTGATGGATCAGTCTAAATTGTAGATTAGCCTAGTGGTGATGTTTAGCTAGAGGCTGAACTTCACGCTTACTTTAGCTCCCTGAAGCCTTAATCTACAGCGTGCTGCGCTTGCATCACTGCTTTAGGCAAACAATGGAAAGCAAACCCCTGTGCTCACAGGCATACAGGCACAAAGAGAGGAAAAGAATTTCAAAAACATTCAAATTTTAAAAAAAATATTTTATGGAAGAATTGCTTTTAAGTCACAGTCTGGCAAAAGAGCTTTGCTTCATATAGTGTGAGAAGCCCTGCTTACCTTTTAAGCAATACACGAAAAAGTGGGGTTACAAAATCATAAATACTGCTGTAGATTTCAAAACAAGAAAAAAAAAAAAAGAAATAGAAGTCTTCCCGCATTCTATACAACTAGGGGAAAAAAACCCTCTGTTTTACAAGTTTTACAATGGCAGTGGAATATGCCATTTATGACACAAATACATAAACAGCACTTTTTTTTTTTTTTTTTTTAAGAGCAGATAACTAGAATCTCAGGAACAACTTTGATTTGGACACATGATTCTTGCAAATTAACTGAGTGGTTTCATGTTTGACTTGTCACTCTGAACTCTTACGGCATTGCTTTTATAATACATTCTGAGTTTATAAAGAAATAAGAGTAAAAAGAATCATCTACAGTGTAATGCCACCTTCATAACCACACAGCACTGCCAAAAAAAGCAGACTCAACCCGAATCCTCAGATCCCATAGGAGCTGCAAATTTTATTAGAGTATTCTGGCTCTTCTTTTTATTCTCTTTCACCCATTCTCTGTGTTGAAGACCACAAAAAAAAAAACAACCCCAAAACCCAAAACAAAACAAAAAAACAGCCAACCAAACAAAAAAAAAATCCTCAAAGAAAAAGCCCACTTGAGAATCGCTGGCATGGAATACAGCTGACTGCTGTCTGTCAGCCAGATGTTAGTGGCTAAAAGCTGCATCATTTGCAAGGAATAGCAAGGATGTCTGACTAGGAGGCAGGAATACATCAACAAGGAGTGGGATGAAGGACCTCAACTTCTGAGAGCCTCTGAAACTTCAGAGATTCGTGGAGCTCTCCAGCCTTGCTCAATCCCCATGAATGCTTCGCCCCAGCAGCTGTTCAGATGTTTGTTTGAACACATTTTTGTAAAAAATGTTGAAATAATTATTTTGTATAATGCTCTTGCATCATGGTCTAAGCCGCTGGTTATTGCAGGGCTCTGAGACAATGTCCTGTGGTTTTGACCCAGAATCAAGTATTCACTTATGCTGCTTTCAGTTTTAGAAAACAATTAAAGGCCTAGAGACATGAAAGATTCACACTGAAAGCAAAGGATTTCCTGTGAAAGCTCTGGTCACTCACTCCTACAACTCACTCTATTAGATCAGGTGTGAAATTTGTGATACTTCAGCAGAAACCTAACACTGTATCCATCCCCATGGTTTTTCCAAAAAACACGACATACGTCAAAAATCCACTTCTAGTCTTTTCAGTATTTTAAAGTTCTCAATTTTTCAAACAATAAAATTTCACCACATGTTTACTCACAATATATAATCTAATGCCTTCCTTGTCGGCACTTACTCGGCATTAAGTTGCTGAGTAAACACCAAACCCCCCCCCCCAAAAATACCACTTCCCGCCCAAAAATCACAAATCCACAGAACAACCTGATTTTCAACTCTGACATACAATTTCTTACTAGAAATTTGAAGGCTAGAAAACACAAAATTTTCATAAAATTAAACCAAGGGAACCTTTAATTTTAAAACATCATGCAAGAGTTGCACAACTTATTGACAAATTGCCTTAAAATATCTAGTAATTCAATTAGCTTCCACTTTACTGAAGCTTATAGGATTTATTTTACCCCCAGCTGAAGCAAGTCAAAATTTTTCTTGTGCTGATCTACAGAGCAACTGGGATTCACATGCTGCTTTCAATAAACCTTCAAATGCTCTGAAGATGTGTTTCTTTAAATATAAATGAATTCACCTCCTCAAATTTGGCCCCATCTTGTTAAGGGAAATATAAAACCCTAAATTAAATTTTAAAATAAAACTTGTGAATCTACTGAAATAGTTTTCATATCCGAACTTCAGATACATTATTCATTTTTATTCTATGTCCAGGTATATGCAGAATTATGTAACAATTACCATATGTTTGCTCTGAGCCTATTCAACTGTGTGTAAAAAGGATCATATACAACTTAATCATGTAGCTATCAATTCTCTAAGCCTGACCAACTGTTAATTGAACTTCTCAACCATAGCAGACTGTCACCCCCTGCCTGTGCTCCTGCCACCTGTGCCAGAGTTAATACTTGGGTGTCAAAGGTACAGCTCTGCTTCAACTTCAAACAGCAGCTTTTGTAACTCTAAGTCTAACCACAGAAGCCTGCAGAAAAATGGTTAAAATACTTAATTGCACTCAGTAATCAGTCCTGGATTAATATAAACTAACGACAACAACAACAAAAAAAAGATAAAAAATTAACAGTTGGTTCAAACAAACTCTCCTTCTACAGCATGGTCTTATGAACTGACAAATTCCTTTTAGTTTAAGCACTTTGAAAGAATGAATCTTCCATTCAGTCAAAATTTCATTGCTTCAGTTTGGTTAGACTTTTGTTTCCAGTAACCAAACACAGTTGTGCAATTCCAGGCAAGAAACATCAGTTTCCTACCAGATGCCATTACTTAAGGTTAATATACCAGGTGAAAAATAAGGAATGGCATCAGGTGGAATTCTGAAAATTCAATCATTAGGTTAAGGTCAAACAAGAAAAAGCAATTATAGGCATAAATACTGTATAGTAAGGTAGAAGTCACCAAAAGATGACAGAATCTGGAGGATCATGATTTTTCCATACCTTTACCAAATACATTGTTAGTCTGGCAGCAATATGCTATAGCCCTGCATGTGACTCTGACAGCAAGATGAGAGATCTTGGTCTGCATGTTCACACTCCTTGATCAGAAGCTGTCCTCTCTGGTAAATATCTGTTGAAATAAGTTAGCTTAAATATAGGCTAAGCATCACCTAGCACATAGCCTTTCCCTAACTAAGCTGTGTCAAAACAATTCTGTACAGTTCAAATAATTAAATTACTAGACATTTTAAGGCAATTTGTCAATAAGTTGTGCATCTCTTGCATGATGTTTTAAAATTAAAGGTTCCCTTGGTTTAATTTTATGAAATAGCATAATTCAAATCAGGTTTTCTCAAAACAGGTTGCCTTGGCGGTGGCTCCACGTGCAGTCACCCTGCCTCTGAGTAGGGATGTGATAACTGCAGGGAAGGACAGAAGCAAAACAGTTGGGACCAGAACCTCCCAACTTGGCTAAACCGTAGCCACAAGAGCACATCTGACTTCATTTGAAAGAAAAGCAGTTCATGTCACACCCAGTCAATTCCCCACCTCCGTGGGCTGCACATACAGAGAAAAGGGATGAGGTTTTCCTCCCAGTCCCCACTTTCTGAGCCACACAGGAGCAATGGCAATTGGCTGACCGGGATACCTCAGTCTAATACTTCAGCAGCTGCAATCTAGAGAAGTAAACTCCACAGTCCTGGAATTTCTGTGCACTCAAAATAGCCTGTGCTTGCTGCTTGCTTCTACATGTGAGAAATCTTTTCTTTGAGAAGACTTACAAAGGCAGAGTAAGCAAAGAAGAGGAATAGTCTGTTACTGCTGTGGTTCTTTTTTGAGTCTATACAGTCTCTCAAGTATTTAATTACCTTTTATATTTTAAAACTATTATATAGATTACACTAGGTTTGAGTTTGGGTTTTGATTGAGATATAGCAACCCAGAGCAGCAGCCAGTCCCTTACTGGTGGGTTTTCTCTGCAGCCTTAACAAAGTGCACAGACATCCAGGCTGAGCTTCCTCACATAAAACTAATACTAAAATAAACCTTTCCAAACTACAATCAGGTTATTTATTTTAGATGGAGACAAAATCATTCATATTAATCATTCATATTAACATCTAAGCAAGTTTTCTTAATGCCTTCCCAACTTTCTCAATATCTTTGCTGATAAATTCTGGGGTTCTTTTGACATGCTAATTAATACTATTCTAGGAAACAACCAACCAACCAAAAACAAAACCAAAATTAAGGCATTAGAGGAAAGTTAGCCACAGAATAATGGATGTTTTCAGACTGAAGAATTTTCTTACAGATAAGAAGAGAATTAGGTTATATCAGATATCTTATATGAAAACAAAGTAAAAAAAAAAATAAGTCAACCAAAAAAGTTATAACCAGAATAAAGTAGAATATTTTCCTCCTTGTAATACGTGACTTCTGAAACTGTGGGAAAGGTTACAAACCATATTTTTGCAAAACTTCATAGGGAAAATGAATTATTTTTCCCTGTTGCCCAGCATAACATAGGCAGAAAAAAAAAAATCATACGTAGTTTATACTTTCCTCTGGTTTGTATCTTTGAAATATTCTTTATAAGTTTTGAACAAAAAAATTAATATGTTCTTAAAGAATTTTATTTAATTAACAGAAAAGGCAATCTCTCACTGCATTGACCAGAATTTTCACTTTCTCTCACACAACTGTGTGCACAGAAAAAATGCACTAAGAAAAGTCTGTGAGAGTGCAACTTTAAAATGACCTGTGCTGGATCAATACCACCTTTCCTTAGTGCATCCCTTGCTTTTCCTCCTAAGAAACAAAATAGTAAAGTAAGCTGTAAGGAACAGCTGAGAGAGCTGCTTTATTGCACCAGATTTATGACAACCTGAAATCTATTACTTTCCCTTATAACTCAGGCACAGTTTGGCATTGACATTATTTTTAACTCCTTCCATACGATTAAGAGGTGACAGCCTTTGACAAGGGGGAGCTGGACTACACATTCTCCAGAGAAACCTTCCAGCCATAGTGATTCTAAGGCCACTAAATGTATGTCTTTAAATACCAAAATTAGTATAAATTACTTCTAGGTTTACTTTCTGCTAAAACTTTAATAATTCAACTACTATTCTTAATAAATGAACCTTGCTGCAAAAGACCTTCATGCACACTAGAAAACTGAATACTCAGCCACGTCCAAAAGTTTTGTTATAAACCTGCAAGACCACTTTGCACAAACTCAAATAAATCACCTCTAGTTTTCATACAACCAACCTCCTTAAAACGCCTCAGTGAGAGCATTCGCTTATTTCAAATATAAAACAAACAAAACTGAAATGCTCTCTACGATGAATTTCATTTTTATTGTAGGTTCAATGTGTTTTAAAAGGGATCAGAACATTGCCGTATGTATACAAAAAACTGACATGACCTCATGGAGTATCTTTTAATTAAAAGTCTGAAATGGTTTCAAAAAACTGCCACAAAAAACAGTACTTTCCTTCTGAAAACATTAGTTTGGTCTTGCTGGGCTTTTTTTCTCTCTTTAAGTTCATCTCTAACTAAAATGAACTTGGAAATTGGTGATTGCAAATTAACAGAAAAGAGGAATATTACTTCCAAATGCCAACAACATTTCTTCTGTTTCTTAACTTGAAATTCCTGCTCAAACTCATAAGCCCTAAAATATCACTGCATCTTGAAGAAATTTATGTAAAACTCCACTGGATCTTTCACGTTTAGGACCCTCATATGTAGTATCAACATAATTTCACTTACAAGAAATTTTGTATATTTTAATGTGATTCAGTGTCTTTACCGTGAGGAAATAAAGGCTACCAGAAGAGTGCTTATCTTTGCCGTCCAAGAGACCTATTCATTTACCTTTCCAATGGCAAGCATCAAGATTACAAAAAGGAAAATAGTATTAAAATGTATGAGTTCTAGAAATGTGCTATGTCAACACTCCACTGGGCTACAATTCAAAGCTAAATTTTCCAGGGCTTTAATTTGAAGGACAATTAGAACACTTGCAAGTCGGGATAAATTTTCTTTTTTATCATGAATGTGTGTAATCAAATAACATTTTGGCATTTTTTCCAAAGAAAATATCAAAAAGAAGCACGAAAATTATCTAAAGGAAAATAATGCATTTCTTAATTTTTTACCACTATACATTGGAATCAAATAAACACCTCTTATTCTTTAATTCTGAAACCTAGTTGTCATTTCCATGTATTTTTGAATAGATTTTACTTGGAAAGAAAACTGAAAAGCCACTGAAAATATTTTAACTGTTTTTTTTTTCTTTTAAATCCTACAATAAGCAACATTATGATGTTAGTTGCAAATCTCAGTAAAGCTGCACCAGCAGAATGGCCAATCTGTCTCAAATACTTGTCCTTACAGACTCAGCTGGCACTTCTTCCTCAAAGTAATCAGTAAAGTGCTGCCTTTGTTGTATAAAACTCTCACACAAAGGTATTTCTATATGGTCATAGGTCTCCTTAGATACATTTTCTACTGAAACCAGGGTAGAAAAGCTCTACTAGTTCACAGCCAAAAAGGACAATAATTCAAGTCTGGAATACAGGGTGGCTTCCTGGTCTAAGTACTCTTTGACATAACTCCTTTAAAAACCATTTTTATTTCTTCTAGGCCAGTTCCACCCTGTCCATTATAAAACCTGACAACATGATATGGACAGTCCTGAAAACTAAGATCAAGTTTTGTTACTTTTTAAATAGGTAGCAATACACTCCAATTTACATTTTATATTTTTCCTGAATACACTAATGAATTCATCACTTCTCAAGACAGCAAGGACAACTGGAAATTATTGCATGGTATTGCTTGCTTTATAGTAAAATTTCAAGAGCCATCCAAGGTTTTCAACACAATAATTTCTGCTGTACCTTCATAAGTGCAAATGTTTGTCATCCTGAATGTTAAGGTTGCAAATAAACACGTAATTCTTCAGAGGGGAAAATAACACTTTAAAAATAAGTAGTGTAATTATTGGAGATATGAATTTATTTACAGGAATTGACCTTTGTACTGATGGTGCATAAATCAAAGACCGAGCCAGTGCTGATCACTCTGAAAACACAGACTGCAAAGTACCCAGGATGCTTGTGCTAACCATCTAAAATGAAAAACATCTCCATTGCTGACTGATGCTATCAAAAATTACACTGAGCTTGACAAAGTCAAGTAAGCAAGCTAAGTAACCGAGCAATGCACTTCCAGCAGGTCTATCTGCTGCTTCAGGAAACTGTCTGTCAACGTGACACATAATAGAGATGGTTACAGCCCACACAGGGTAACAAACAGCCCAGAGATCTGACACAATACTGCCTCTGTAATTAGTATTATCCTAGTGATATATGCTATGAATGTGCAGCAGTTTGATTGAACTTTGGTGTAGACACAGCCTTCTTTCTCAGCTCAATTACTTTTCTTTTGCACATATTTCATATCAAACCAAGATGCAGTTTGTAGGCTTTCTAGCAGTCTATTCATACAGACTAATTTAACATAGATCACTTCATGTAGAGAGAAACCTCAGGCTGGGGAAGAAAAATATGTAAAGCAAGAAAAATAGCAAACAAAAACTACTTTAAGGATAGAGTTTCTCAAGACAACTAAGTCTTCCAAAGACAAATGAAAAATAGTAGTAGGGATAGAGATTATCAGCTCCTTTACTGTAAGCATGCCCAAGGCTGAAGTAGAAGCTAGGTACAGGATTCCACAGATAAAAGGCAAATATTTTCCCCATCATTAAAATTAAAAGCTTTCACATTAGAGTTTCCCATTCTTAACTAAAGAGATAAAAAAACCCCAGGTTAGTTCTGTTTCCTGCCTACCAGAAAGTGAGCGAATAAATGAAAAGTTACTGGATTCAAAATGAACCTTCTCTCCACTCATTAACAGAAGAACATTTCTGTGTCACCAACAGACTGCACACAAATCAGTTTTGTCCTCAACTACAGCCTTTTTCTACTCCATCTTCCACTAGAATCCAGGTATTTTGAACCATAACATTCCCTGCCTCCTTAAAGTTGTCGTAACTTCTATAGTTAAATGGCAGCCAAAGGAGACTTCACATTACACTCCCTCCAAAATCTTCCTAGGCATTATAAACCCTCAATGTAGAACTGCAGAGATTTGGCCTCTGCTCCAGTAATGAACAAGTTCAGGTGCCCACAATCACACCATAAAGCCAACTTTCCCCAGGACATACGCAGTATGAAGTGCAGAGACTTTTATTGGCTGACAAGTCTTATTTCACACCACCACTAATCCTTACCCCAGAAAAAAGCTGCAAGAGAACCAGTAATGCTCTGCCTAGGAACCTCTGGTTACAAATTAGCTCAAAATTATTACTACTACTATTTTGCTAAACAAAATGGCAAAGCATGCTCAGAAAGCATTTGTGTAATTTGACCATCTTAACAATCACCACTGGAATTGCTGAACAATATTTAGAAAAAAGCTTACTACATCACCAAAAAAAAAAAAATTCATCCTACCTTATATCCTGTTGCTGTCACAAAGAAACAATTATCTTCCCATCACCAAAAATCCTACTTCACCCCACAGTAACAAAGAACAACATCTGCCAGCACTAACTTTATTTCGACCCATAAAAAGTACTTTCCAATATATTTTGGATAAAATCCTCTTTCATAAAGAGTGCTTTTCTACCCCCAATTAGCCCTAGTATAGCACCACTCCTTCCCAATTCTTGTTGGAGAAGCTCTCTCAATTCCAAGCACATCTTGAACTTCCTCAAGAAAGTGAAACCTGTACCATTCCCAATCAGTGCCTTAAAAAATACAGCTGCAAAGCCTGCCATAACTTTTTATAGTGGCCATATTACTTCTTTTATAGATTACACTGTAAATCTAAGATACAAAAATAAAATGCACAGGCTCATAAAAGATCTTTATTGCATGCAGCAATTGAAAATACATTTTGTAGTTTATTTTTTAAGGTCGAGTTTCTCTCTGTATTAAATAATAGTTTTGGAAAAAATGTCTAAATAATTTTGTGCAGAATTTTTATTTCAAGTCAGATGCACACGAAACCTATATAATGCACAAACATGTTTAATTAAACAAACAAATTAGAAGCAAAATGCTAGTATGTATCTGATTTAGAAGATCAACACAAGAAATGTAGGGTATGTTAAGTATTTATTACTTCAAACAATTGAATATATATGAACACTGACATACTTTAATATTCCATTCAGTTGTTTCCCCTGTAATCAAAAAAAGCAAGGCCACACGTTCCAAAGTCTGACAGTCTGCTATCCTCACAGAAGGTCCTACCTGTCATCATTTATTACCACTGTGCAATGTATTTCAGATTCAATTTCTACTCATCAACCAGAAGAATCTCCAATACCTCTATAGTGGGAACAATCAGATGCAAATAATCATCAGGCATTAGACACACTAAGCCATATATCTCAACAAATCATCTTAGCCTAAGTAATACCCTTCAAGGGAAGTAATTATTATCTCTCCCGATCATTTAAAGACAGAAACACAAATAATTAAGGTCAGGAATAAAGAGATCATTACTTTTAATGTACCTTTGTGTGCTTCAGGTCTCAGCCACAATATGATGCCCGAACTCAGGGCCAACACCACAAACCATCGGGAGCAACCCCCTGCTTGCTTTTGGAGGGTAAGAAGTTACTGAATTTGAAAAAAATATAAATCCTTGGAAATAACAGATGCAAAACCATTTTACCCAGCTTGGACAGATCCGTTAAAAAGACTTTTCTTGGCTTCTTGTGGGTAATGATCCTGTTTCCAGGCCAGGGGCAAGGCTGACCCCGTGAGAGTCCTGGCCTTCCACCCCTCCCCGAGCTCTCCCATGGCCACACCTGCCCCGGGATCCCTCGTCCTGGGTCAAAGCCCCTGTGGCTGCAGGGCTGCCAAGTACCAAAAGCCTGAGATCCAGGAGAGAAGACAAATGATGGCTCATTAAGGACTAAAAGCGCAGGTACAAACAGCATTATCAGAAAGCAGATATATGTTTAAGAGCTCCCAGAAAAGGGGGAGGAGGGGAGGAACGGGAAGAGGAATGGAGCCATGAGGGCCTGGCACCTTCTGCCGCTGGGCAGGGTGCTTCATTTTCTTACACAATCCCAGCTGGCAGATCTGACACAGCTGAGTGCCCACAGGCTGGGATAAAAAAAAAAAATTATCTGCTGTGTGCACATCAAGACACTTTTAAACAAAATCTGCTGAGTAAGACTAGTGCACAACCAGCTACTTTGAACTGTTTCCTGCTCTTTTGGTGGTCTATGGCTTTACAAGATGCCATCAAGATGAATTACAGAGAGAGACAATAAGCAAAGTCTGCTGAATAGTTAATGTCTTCGGATGTAGACCACAGAACAAATCAAACTTTCTGCTCTCCACTTTAAAGATACCACACAGAGCCTCGTCCAGCCTTGTGTACCATCAATTCACTTCAACACAGGAATATTTCAAATAAGTGTTTAAAACACAAAAGAAACACAAACCCAAAAACTTAAAAATGCACATTTCCTCATTTCAGTAAGATATGACCCAAAGAAACCATATTTCCCATGAAAGAAAAGCATAATAAAAGCTACTGCTCTTTTCTGACAAGCTATGCTTCGAAGTTTCAACTGCAGTTCTGTTCTGTCCCTTCTCCTGCTTCGCTTAGATTCACTAATTTCTGTACTGTATGAATAATTATGTATTTCTTCAAGTCACAAATGTCACTTAGGAAGACAAAACAGCCTGACCATTTATCCTGTGATTTCCCTTACTGTGTTCTTAACTGAAGAATAAATGACAATAATGAAATAAACTCCAGTGCTGATTTAAGTTCCCAGAGCAGTGTGAAAGCTAAATTACAACAGAATTAGCAATGTTTTACCTACTGATTTACTTCATAGGTACAAAACTTCTACAAGCTGTAACTGTGGACAGGGTAGCATGCATATCTATATCTATATATCTATATATCTATCTATATATATAGGACTTCTTAGAGACAGAATCCCTGCATTTGTGGTCATGGAATTACAGTACAGTACTAATTGGAACTTCTATATAGTATTAGTTGACTTGTAGCCTCAAGTTACCTTTTAATATTTGGTTTAATAAAACTATACTAGGTTGAGCAGAAGTCTCATGTATCCCAGGCTTCTCAAATTTGGAATAATTTGTGCAACTTTCTGAGCCCATTCCAAATCTCCAACATTCTTTTCTGTGTATGTGTGCGGACTCAGCATTCCAACAGTGGTCTCACTAGATTATTCACCTGTACTTTACCTCTCTACTTGTATTTCCCAGCATATCTTGGAATAATCTTGTTAGACTACCTAATTTACAGCCTTTGGTCCCATAATGCAAACCTTCTGAACATACAACTTTCAGGTTCAGATACAACTTTCAGTAAAAGCATATACTTGCAAGGCAGTTCAGCTCAAATATGGAGAGTGGACTTAGCTTTACCACAACTTGTTTATCTGTTTTCTTATCTTGTTTATCTTATTTGTCTTATGTGCAAATCCTGCAAGTTGTGACTGATGATTATTGTGTAAATCCATTTTGAACTATGTACTTCTAGTCTTTCCACCTCTATCTATTAAACTAGTGGGTTTGTGCGTGTGTGTTTAGAGAAAAGGGTCACTGCCTGACTCTTTCTACAGAGCAGTCAGATAATTTGAAGAAAAGTAAATCAGTTTTTCACCATTAGTTTACAATGCTCTTCCATGGACGAGCTCTCCTCACGCTCATCTAATCCTTTGTGAAGACTGGTTTAAATCAGGTTTCTTTTCTGTCCTAAGTGAAGTCAGGAAAAGATTAAGCTTACTTTCTCCTTTCGAGTAACAAAATGTTTAAATGATGACCGCACACTGAAGGAACAAAACCAGGGGCTGGAATTGCTAATTACTGCTCCCATTTTCTACCCTTTTTTACTTTCAAGCTCTGCATCTATTCCCGGACACAGAGCAGAAACATGCGTGAGTTGCGATTCTCCCTCTAGAACAGGGAAAACTAATTGACAGCCTGAAGGCTAAATCCAGCTCCACAAGATGGTTTTACTTGGATCCCACGATGGCCTAGAGCAACACTACACATCAGGTACTGTGCTAAACAATTTGCTTAGCCCACAGGAGAGCGGGAAAGAAAGAAAAGGAGCGAGGACAAGCAGGGAGTGGGAGGAACAAAAGAGCGTGGGTGATGGCTGATGGGATAATAGCGGAATTTTAACCATTCCAGCATTTCCCCACCTTCCGAAGATGCCCCCAGAGAGCATCTATTGTGGGGCAGGGCTGGAGCAGGCTGGGTCCTTCACAGGGTCTGCCCCCAAACTGGGCTAAGACAGAGGAGAGACCACAACCACATCAGGCTCTTGAGCCCACATGTCTTTTGCAATACGGTTTTAAGAGCAGCTTTGCTAAACCTACTAGATCATCAGAGCAGACTGTGGGTAAACTGCTACCCCAAGAAACCCTACAAACTGAGGAAAGGAAGGCAGTACCATTCCTGCATGGGAACTACAATCTTTCCAAAGGGAGGTCACACTGCTGGAGCAGAGATAGTCTGGATGTTCCTGGTCTAGGCACAAAATCCTCTTCTGTTTGCATCCTCTCTGCATTAAAACAAAGGGCTGAGTTTGACTTCATAGGCTTTCCCTGAGCACAGATGAAATGAAAATCAGTGACACTCATCTGTTCCTGCAGGAGCAGCCCTGAGTCCAGCAGAAACTCAGTAAATTGAAGTCAGAAAAACAAGTCTCTCTGTTTCCAGCATCTTGTACAGCACCTACTTATTATTAGCATTTATCCTTTTTGGCCTTCTCTCTGTGGACAACAGAGGGTTAAATACACAATCATCTTGATATATTCATCTGATCCATGAGCAGCTGGCAGGGAGAAAGAAAAAAAAATAAGGAGGGAACCACAGGGAATCAACAATACAGGCTCTAGAGGAATAAATCCAGGGAAATGGAAAATTACAAGTTAGAGAACTCAATTTTTATCCCAGCACCACCCAAAAGGGCTAATTTTTGGAACATTTCAAACAGTTTCCAAAGTTATTTGCAATTAGTGCTAAAAATAGCTACAAAACATTTCAAATAGTCTTTAAAAGAGAGTGATGAAGAGCAGTCTTGTGAGGAACAAACAGAAGAATAAGAATTCCCAATCTCTCCAGAGCTGACAGACATTCTTGTGACCCTGAGAGCAAAATTTAATTTCTTCCTGCCTCAGCTTTTCTGTCTAGAGAACAGCAACAGTAAGACCACCTTCCTTTCCAAATACAGACACATTTAACCATTTATAAAATGCTTTTAAGAACTTTATTTGAAATACCTACTTATAAATAGGAGTGAGGACTTCTCAGAGTATTCCTGCAAAGGGAAATACTCCAAAACAATGCTAAGGTGCTGGAATTGAAGTATGCATTCATTCTCTTTCTTCTGTACACAGCCAATATTTACTAAAATGAGCTGACCATTATGACTTTTTTTCGTTTTTGGAAAATATTGTGACTATTTTGGGTATAAAAACCTAATTACTTCAGTTAGCATGTTAAAATGAAGTAATTCAGAGTGCTTCCCATTACACCTTTTATTAATACCAAAGGATTGCTTCAGCCCACTAAGAGTGAAAAACCTATATATTAAGGAGATTTTGTATAATATTTTATTAGCTAATTCCATGGTGGCAGTTTTGAATATTTCATTGTCTGCTCCTTCAATAATTATTAATATAAGTCCAGTAGATCTTACTTTATAAGGAAGCTTTGCCATCACGTCAAGTATTTTGCCAAAAATGCTGCTTGATGCCTATTTATGAAAGGACAGACCTTTCCATTGTATTTAGTGTTTATTCAGAAAGTGGTACAAAGGAAAGTTTTGATATATTTTGAGGAAAATCTGACCTGGTAATAAACCAAAATCACAGTTATTAGAAGGAGCAATCAAGAAGAAGACACCATTTAAAAAAATAACTCAGTTAAGTCACATTATCAGTGGAGCCTTTCCTGTTTTAAAACCTCACCACAGACTACACCAAAGAACTTATTCCACTAATAAAACTGGAGCCAAACAAATTATCTTCAGATAAAGATGTCTACAAGAGAGACTTACTAGTGTCTGATGAAAAATTTAAGAACAGCACGGTATTCAAGGAATCTGCTTAATTATTGCCATCTTACTCTCGCAGAATTTTTAGTCTACATGTTTTGTATACTTTAAGGTCAGGTTTGGTTCTTTTTTGACATCAGAGAAAAACCTGCAGGTTTTTACTAAACAGTCTATCAGTAGCATAATTGTTGAGTAAGGATAAGGCTTTAAGCTGAACACCAGACTTTTAACATTAACAGTTTCTGCCAGGAAAGCATTTACTAACAGGAATTAAGGAACAAAAGCAACCAAGAACGCCTTTGCATCTGGAAATGGTTACAGAAACCAAAATGGTAACTCACATAACACTAAGACTCCTTTTTTTTTTCTTTTAAAAACAAGCGTTAGGAAAAAATATGACACTTTTTCCTGTTTTTTCCCTTAAACTGGAATACTTCTAAGCTGTAAATTAATAAAACCCCCCTTTTTTGGTGTTTTTTTCCCTCACTTTATTATCAACTTCTGAAACTGAATTATAGCATGTATGTAGGTACAAAATTAAATGCCAGCCTAGCCAGCTCTAACCCACAGCTCCCCTCTCCAATCACTTTTGATAGCACGGAAGCACAAAGAAGCCCAGTTTAGAGAGTCCACATGTGTTTAATCTTTGATTAATTGAACAAAAACTAAGAGCCTCCAGACATATTTCTTTTAATCACGGGCAAGATACCTTTTCAGTTGCTTTGCTCATAGGAGAGAGTCAGCAGATGTCTGTCTGGTCTAAAGGGAATTTCTCTTTCTCTGGAGAAAACAGTTTTAAATAGGAGAGGAACAAATAGGAGAGACATATGCTGACTAGGCACTGCTTAACAGATGACGTAGAGAAGCATCTACTACCTCAGGGAGTGGAACGGGGCAGTTTTCAAATTAAATTTCTTTCAAATTCAAAGCAATCAGCTGAAATCAATTTACATACAGGACGCAAGTCAAGTCAGACAGTTCTCATCAAAACAGCTCACAGACACAATGATGCAAATCTGTCTTTGTCAGCAGTATGATCTTAAAGGAAGGTTTTTAATAGGATGACAGTAAAAAGAAAAATAAAAACCAATTTCTTCACAATTTTCAACACAGCTGATACTTTTGTTCTCTAGGGAATGATGATTCAAAATATTTCATCAATATGGAATATTTGCCAAATATTCTAAATTCATACACAAAATGAATTGGCACAACGCAAATTTATCTCCAAATTTTAAGTCAGAATCAAGCCTCTCAGTACTTCAGATAAACATGTTTTAAAATGTAGTATTGGGGGAAGAAGCATAAGAACCAAGGCATGAGGATTACCAGCCAGCATTTTATTTGTCTGACTTTATTCTTCTGCCTACAGGCGTATGTCCTATATCATCATCTAGGAAACGTAAACACTTATAAAAAATAGGAATGATCTTCATCTAGTTCTACCAAGATGTCTTGGGGGATGGTGGAGGAGGGGTGTTGGTGGGGAAAGAAAGATCAAGAGTCTAAAACAGAAACAGGAGGAAAATATAATAGATATCTATTGGTTGAAAACAGCATATAAAGACTTCCTTGGATCAGAGGAAGCTCACCAAAGGAGAGTTTTTCCTCTCAGAAAAGAGACAGCCAATGGTCCCAATTCATGTGATAACTTCCACCAAGGAGCTCCCTCTGAACTCTGCTTGAGGCTCTGTCCCATGGGAAGGGAAGAAGAACATGTAGCAGGGACTGAAAACAGACTGCAGTATGAAAACCTCCTTTTCCTCCTTCATACAACGAGGATACCTGCCTTTATTTCTATTTATAGTTGATGTTATCAGCCTGAATTGTCTTCCACAGGCTTTTAAACAGCAACAGCAAAACTAAGGAGAACTTTGGTATCAATTCACTATGTTGGTTGGATTCAGTAACATGACTTAAACATCTGTCTAAGGCTCATGCTTGGAAAGGCAGGGTCCTGCAACCTGAACAATTTTAATTCTACTTTTTTCTCTGAAACTAATGAGAGATAACCCTAAATCTGCAAGGAATATATTTCACCTTATTTTAAGAACTGACTTCCCCAGCTTTGGTTTCAGAAAACTTTTTACCCATCAGAGCTGCCATTCCACAAAAAGACGGCCACCACATTGCTTGATTTATGAATTTGCTGAGCTGCACAGCAATTTCTGGCAAGACTATAACATGTCTGATTTTGCTTAATCATCCATCCCAGCATGGCCACTGTAACATCAAAAATTACTCATCAGCTTAAGAATAAATCAGTATACCCACAGTACCACAACCAATCAAGAACTCTCTTCCTAAATTCCTCTGTTGTACATGGTTCCTGGGAAGACAGATAAGTAAGAACAGCTTTCTTGGTCCAGACAAAGTGTGTATGCAGCCTATTATTTTGCCCTGACCTTGGCAGGATTAGATAACTGCGTTGAATAGGAATCTTTCGTTTGCATGCTCTGTTTTCACAGTAGTCCTGACTGTACTGTATCTGCACTTAGAAAAAGCTTTCATTTGTTGTTTCAGTATCACTGTAATTCACCTGTGAACTGCTCTGAGCACAGAATTGGCTTTAATGCTCAGATATGTTGACATATATCCTCAATAAAAGTCCTCTCAGCCTGCTTCCAAAATACAGCAAATCTTAGCACTTCAGGTGCAGTATGAAAGAGGCCTCCAAACATCTCCACAGAACCACCAAAATCCTAAAACACTAATCTTACAACTGCAGACTATACAATCTCCTGCTTTTTAAGAACTAATCCTATATATTCCCAAATACATACAAGTTGCATTTTAGATAATACACATGCAAATTTCCTTTAACAACAGACTTAGACATCACTGCAAAATGAAGTTCTGCCATACCAAACTGCCAGGCAGAATCATATTTAATTATGGCATTTCCAGTCAAGCCTCGGTGTTTTGGTTATCTGTAGGGATTTTTTTGTGTTTTAAATCTGTACACCATTGCATAAATGATGCATGAATGCATAAATTAACCTTGTAACCCTTTCTACAGTATGAACAGCCAGTAACTCTGATAAGGCACATTCCTTACTTTATTCATTTATTTCATGAGTGCAGGCAAAAGACTCAAAAAGAAAGACCTTTTGTGATACCTTAACACCAACCACATACTTGAAACAAAGCCCTCACTTTCGTGAGACTTTGCCAAATAAAATTGTAAGCAACATAAACAGCATATGTTTGCCATACACATGGGTGCCTCAAACGATGGAAATTTTGATATGCATCCAAAATGTTTTATTCATTGTCATGCAACTGAAGAAGGGAGTAACTTGTTGTTTGCCCCATTCTCTTAACATGCCAGTGATTGCACATAAGGTGTAATTTAAAACACAGAACATTTATACAGATCAAGTCATTTGAATTTTAACAGTATTGCATATCTTGCAGCTAATAACACAAACAATAACTCAGAGAGACCATATCTTGCCTAAAATTAATGGAAAGTGAGAAACAATTTTGCAAATAATTGAGCAGCTCATATTCTGCATAACACAGGAAAATGAAGTACAGGAAAGTCATCACTGATCTTCAAATTCTACAGCAACCTTTTCTTCATCTGCCAGAGGAATTTCAGAACAACAGGGGATATTTCATTTTATCAACAATAAGTAACGAGGCTGATGAAACAACTCTCTCCACAGGATGGCTGAATCTATTCCTTGTAATTCAAAGGAACTGGAAGTGTTTTTAACCATAAAACACCTACACTGACCGTATGCCATTTTTATACCTTTTAAATAATTTTAAAACCGCAAAAAAAGCATTTGTAGAGCTAGAACAGTCTCTAGTAACTGAAAATTCTGAAATCTGAAGATTCTGTTACAACGATGACAATGCTCCATGGGAAAGAATCATGCCAAATTCCCTGGTCATAAATATAACCCTTCTCTGCAAACTCACTATGACAAGGCAAAGGGTGAGGGGAAAGAAAAGGGAAGAGTCTAATTCAGTGAGGAACTTCAGATTTCATATCTTTGGTAATCAATACTACTGTGCTTAAGAGGGAGAGCATCTGAGTGTGCACATACACACATATGCTAAAACATGAGAGTAGGTTTCAAAGAAATCAGTTTTTAGTTTCTCCGCATTTTCTCATTCACTCTGAAGTCTCATTAGGACAACCAGCTCTCCTAGCAGCAGCATTTAGTGGGATTTTCTGGTAGTAGTAACAAATTACTTCAGTTCTCCAGCACAAACTCAGTCAGTAAGGCAAACAGAAAATCTAAAGAGTAAAATAAGACGCTATGCATCTTCAAAAATTAGGCAGGGGGGCATTCAAACTCTCAGTGTTCTTCAACTGACTGTAATGACTGAGCAAGTAATATACACAAACTTGTGAAGTAGCTAAAACAGTTGTTCATGTTTTCCTTAAGCAGAGATACCTACATTATAAAAAGGAGTACATCTGCATGCAACTTTGACCTAACTGCAAAGAAATTTTTCCTAAATGATGTTACATTTTTGGTAAAATACGCTTCAGAGGCAGTTTCTAGTAATCCAGACTTACTATGCAGCTGCAACAAGCATTGAAAGAGTCAGGTTCAAGGTAAACCTATCATTGATAAATGGTAGGTTTCAAAATGCATTAGCAACAGCACTCCTTTTAAAAGTTACCCTAGAACTTTGGTGGCAAAAGAGAAATAGGTTTGCCTCAGAGAAATATTATTTGAAATAAAGATTTGCCAAGTCACTGACTACCAAACACAACCAGCTTCATTTGTATTTGACTTTTTCCTAATGTCCCGAAAATCTGCAGCGTAGAGAAAGGAAGATGAATATACCCCTGCAGCTATTGTTGCCGCTCTGGACATGAACAGGCTCCTACAAACTGTCTGTCCTACATAACAGACACCCACAAGATCCAGAGACACAATTTTCCTCAAAAAGGAGTAATTGGAAGAAAAAAAAAGGAAAAAAAAAAAAAAAGAAAAAGCAATTGAATCAAACTATCACACAGCAGTAACTGAATTTGTTCTTAACTGGGTGTATCCATTTATCAGACAAGCCTGAGAGATTCAAATGTATGAAGCAGCTGCAGCCACCTTCCAGTCTGCTAATGCACTTTTTCAAAACTGCTTTTATTGCTCTACTCAGAAAAATGACTTTGTTTTCCAAATGTTTATGTGATAGCCAAAACAGTCTTCAGCCTTTACTCTGAGGATAAAAGCATGGTTCCACTTTCTTCTCCCACCTGTAAAAGCTGACATTTATAGAGAGAATTACCCAGTTTCGTTTTGACAAGGACATGCCCTTTTCACGTTCTTCAGGACCTTTCACCACTGGGGAACGTGTCACTGGTAGGCAGTAATCCAAAACCAGTTACATTCCTCAGAAACAAAACATGGAGCTGATTTAAGTAGGTCTCCCGTGATCAAAAGGCTGAGTTCAGGAAGTCAGGGAGAGGGAGGGAAATGGACTTGTAGCAGCCTCAGCCTGGAGGATGACTACAGCCCCGTTATCTGATGATCCCATCACACACCCTTCTGGGCTGCACTACCCAAACTTCATTTGTCTGCAAACTAACTTTGAACACACACAGAGAGTCTCCATTTCAAAAATTTTGTGGGAATGGCATTTCAAGCATAGATTAAATCAGTCAACAAGAAAATTAAATAAATAAATCCCCCAATTAAACGGGAGTTACATCTCTCATTTCACTGACTTGTAATTCACCTTTCTGCTGAGTTCCTGCTTATGCAAATTTATCTCCTTCCCACTTATGAAGATCCTACAGATCTGAATTACAGAGAAAATGTCATGTAATTTTAAATTACAAAGCTTCTTTCCACAGGACTGCGTAACAGAGAATAGTTTTACCAGTCTCTAAAGTGCCTGAAACATTTTAATTCCTGAAATATCAAGTGGCTAGTTATTTGATTAGGGAAAGTTACAGTCCCTGAAACATAATCAGACAGAATATAGTCAGTGGGGGTTCAAGTATATGTTTTGTTGATTTAATATACCACTCTTCACCAGCCAAAGGATCATCTTGTTTTTAAGGGTTTTTTGGGGATGGGGCATGGTTTCAAAGAAATAACCCCAGAAACTTAAGGAAATACAGCTGCACAAATATTTTTATATCAAATAAAATAACATTATGGAAAAGATGTAACAAATCCCCAATGCTATGAGTAGACACATGGCATCTTCAAACATTTTGGATGGGATACAAAAGGCAAAGATGGAACAAGAGACTTACTTAATTCAATTTGCTGATAATAAATTGTATTTAGGTCGTGTTCAAAGGTATTAACTAAAGACTAACACTATCATTACTGAAATACATATCAATGGGAGAAAAAGCAGCATCCTTTGGAGTAAACGACATGCAAATGTGAGTCAAGTCACCAAAGAGAGGTCAAGGACTAGAAGGTGACAAAGCAGAGGGAAAACTATCTGCAATTCTGTGATTTATGATTTTAGTCTCTCCCCCCTTGCAGCAATCAAATCTGTTGTAAAAGCCCTTCAAAATACATAGGTATTAAAAAAAGATAAAACAGCTTCTAACACAACATACTTTTGAAACCCCACTACATTTTCCTCCTTTGCAACTGTGGAATCTATGCACAATGTACTTAAGGAAGATGTCCACCTTATTACATAGGTAACAAATTCTCTTTGTGGACTATCTCAAAGATGAGCACCGGAACTCTTTAAAAAATATATAAAAATGAACTGCATGGAGGACTAACAGGCCTGAAAATTTACTTTTAGTATTAAACTGAATCTGAAGCCAAGTCTACAACATCCAATGAACAGTGAAGGAACTTCATCTAATTGAAGGTGTTACTAAATGAGGAGATGGAAGAGAAGTGGTAAATTCCCTATCACATTATCAAACAAACTGGTGCAGACAGGAGCTGCCTCTTCCAGTGAGATTCAACAGCTACAGTGCAAAACATGTTGCTACTT